ACAGCCACCCTGTTCCTTGGGGACCCAGGACACAGAGCGGGGCCAGCGAAGGGCTGCTTGGGGACCAGTCCCGGCCCGGGTGACATCCTGCACCGCGACCCCAGCTCGTCCGGCTCCCACCCCCCACCTGCTGCCCGCCCCGGGAGAGGGGGCGGGCCCAGACTCCCGCAAGCCACGCCACCCGATGCCCACTGGACGGCCTCCCACGGAGCTCCGCCCCTCGCGGCCGCAGGCCAATGAGCGCGCGGCTGTCAGCTTGTCCTGCGCGCCGGCTGGGTGGCTCCGGAGCCGGAGCGGTAGCCGAGCTTGCTGCAGACAGGAGCGCTCACTGAGCGACCGCTCGGTGCGTCCCGTGCCCCGCCCGCCCGCACCCGGCGTGGCCCGCTGCGAGCATGGGTGCGGCGGCCGTGCGTTGGCACTTGTGCGTGCTACTCGCTCTGGGAGCGCCCGGGCGGATGGTTGGGGGCAGCGGGCTCCGAGGTAAGCGCGAGGACTCGGGGGTCTGCGGTGCACTGGGACCTAGGGGCGGCCACCCCGCGCCGTCGGAGGCTGCCCCGTGCCGGGTTCTGCCTCCTTGCAAAGTAACTTCTGGGAGCTCCCGGGGCCGGCGGGGGCGGGGTGGGCTGAGGCCCCGGGAGGGGAAGAGGGAGGCTGGAGAAAGAAAGCAGGCAGGGCGGCCGCCTGCGGGGCCCGGCAAGAGTACGGAGACGGGCGGGGGGCCCCCCCCCCCCCCCGAGCCGAAAGCGACCGACGCTCCCCCAGGGCCGAGGACTTGGCAGCTGCGGCATAGGAAATACCCGGAGGTGTCCAGAAAGGACGCTCTGAGACTGGAGGGGAGGTGGGGAGATGAAGGGACAGACGGACAGGAGCCGAGGCGCAGAGGGAACAGACAAAAGGGCCCAGGAAGAAGCCCTGAGAAAGACAGCCGCGGGAGGGAAGAGGGGAGAGGAGGTAAGGGAGGGGAGCGAGGAGGCAGTGGACAGCGGGAAGGAGAAAGGCAGATCAAAGGACAGAAAGGAGGAGACAGATGGACACCAGAAACGGGAGGACTCGGAGGGGCGGCGCCGAGGGAGGGGACGGAGGGAGAGAGGAAGGATAGAGATGTCTGGGAAGAAATGGACAGATGGACTGTCAGACCGGAGGGGGAGAAGAGACGGACAGACATAGGGAAGAAGGTGGATGGAGAACACGAGTCCCAGAACAAACCAGGACTTCGTGTCGAGGACATCAGAGTGAGGGGGCAGGAGGCACAGGAGGAAGCCAGTAGATCTGGGCAGAAGGAGCTGCTAGGTGGGGGTGTCCCTCCCTGACTCGAGTTTCCTGGAAGGGGCTCCCCAGCAAAGCTGCACACCCGAGTTGTCTTTTCGAATCTCCAGTGCACTCCTCCTGGTTTTGCTTGGAGAGGGTCCTGCCTTGCTCCCACTCCAGCTTAGTCTCCCCAAGTCTGTTTTTGGAGGGGTGGGGTCTGTTTGTGCAAGTCCTACAGCAGATCCAGAGCCAGAGAGTCTATGCTGGGCCATGCTGCTTCATCATTTGCACTGTGTTTTCTTCCATGCTCCTATTCCAGAATACGGGACTTTGTGTGGGGGGTGAGGGGTGGTACTAGACATGTCTGTGGGCTTTTTTACCCCGGGGTTTGGGGCGCTTCACCTTTGTAAGACTGTCCTGTGTGTCTCTCCCTTCCTCTCTGTCCCTTCCGGTGTCTTTCTGCCTCTGCCTCCCCCACCCCTCTGTGGAAGCCTGATAACTGTAGAATTCCAGGAGCTGACCTCAAAGTAAGAAAACCAGGGTTGAAGTGAGCAGCCTGTGTTTGAGGGTAGTACAGCCTGCCTCAGCCAAGCTTCCAGGCCAAGTTTATAATTTGAAAGACAGATGGCCCCACCCACCCCTTCCAAACTTCTGTTTCTATCTCACCTACTTAGGTGGGAGATAGAAGGGATCTCAAACCCCCAGGGAACTTCCTGTCCCTCATGCTCATGCCCTGACCCATGGGAAATACAAAATGTCTCTTAGAGGTGCCCATGTGATCTGGTCCTCTCTGGTGTCCTGCCCTTGAAGCAGTGGTCCCTCTGTGGCCAGCTCTCCAGAAAGCCCCTCCCCAACTAGCTCTCCACTGGCCCTGGCAGCATTCTCTGGTTTACTAAGCTGCCTGTCCCTGGGCTCTTGCCTACTGCCTTTGGGTATATGTAGAGGTAGACCACACACTTGAGCCACATGTGGCTGGCCTTGGGAGGGTTGTTACATATGTGTACATGTTTGTGCCTATGTTTTTGCATGTGTAAATGTGTTCAGGGAGGAGTCTACTGTGTTTCTTTTCAATGTCTCTCTTCCCTCTGGTGAGCTGGAACCTTGGAGTCTGGAGTGAGGAAGAGGAGCCAGGGTGAGGGTGGGGCACAGAGCTAGGGCCCAATGTCCACCCAGGGGTGAATTCAAAGTGAAGGTTCTTGGGCACCATGAAGTCTAGGGTGAGGCCAGATGGATGAAGAGATGGGGACATTTGGAGCCTCCCAGGGGGCTGTCCTCAGGGCAGCTGCTGAAAGTCCCTTGTCTGCTCACCTGAGTCCTTCTGCCTGTCCATCTGTGTGGTGGTCATAGCCAGCTGGAAGGAGAGTGACACCCACACAAACTTGTTCTGTGATGGGGTCTAGTCCAGTAGCAGGTATCACTGCCTCAGATCCCTGGTCTAAACCTAAAGTAAACTCAGAGAGAGCAACCAAGTGATGGAGAGGAAGAGAGAAAGAGAGAGAGGAGAGAGAGAGAGAGAGAGAGAGAGAGAGAGAGAGAGAGAGAGAGATCAGGTGTATGTACAGAAGCCTTTTTCATTATGCAACCATGACTACAGCTTTCTGTACTTAATGTGCTGGGTGCTGGGGAAGGGAGGTGGGCTACACAGGAGAAACCCTGTCTCAAAAAAGGAAAGAAAGGAAGGAAGAAAGGGAGGGAGGGAGAGAGAGAGAGAGAGAGAGAGAGAGAGAGAGAGAGAGAGAGAGAGAGAGACTAGAAACAGTTCAAGGCAAGCCCTTTAAGCCTGGATGGTGCTGGGGTCTAGAAGATAAGCTATGAGAATAGGCTTTCTGAGGCAGGAGCCTGGGTTAACATGGGGAAAGCACTCTGCTCTAGTTTGGGTCCCAGATGATTCTTCCCACAGTTCCACTGCCTTGGCGCTTGATGGAATCTCACATCCAAGTCACCTGCGCCCTCCATGGATGGCCTCTGTTCAGTATTTGCACACAGTTCTGCCTTAGTTTCCTCATCTGCAACACAGAGTAACTGTATTTAAGTTCTTCCAAGCGCTGTTTGGAATTAGGAATATGGAGGATTGGAGTGATGCCTGTGAGGAAACCAAGTTCCACAGAGAGATTTTTCTCTCTGGTATCCCTAGCCTTCAGCTTCTCCACACCTTGAGTGAGGATAATGGCCATATCTAATGGGACTGTTAAGAAAATAAAGACCAGATGTGTTGTGACATGTACCTGGCACAGAGAAACTGCCCCTCATCATACCAAATTGCTATGTGACTCTTAATGTCAGTTAGCCTGGTGGTCAAGGGTAGGATGGGGGCATGAACTTCTAGCATGGTCTCAGATGTCTTCATAGCACGCTTCACCTGAAGTTTCCCCTCCCCCACAGGAGCTGTGGACGTGGATGAGTGCTCAGAGGGCACAGATGACTGTCACATAGATGCCATCTGCCAGAACACACCCAAGTCTTACAAATGTCTCTGCAAGCCGGGCTACAAGGGGGAAGGGAAGCAGTGTGAAGGTGAGTCTCCTCACCCTCCCCACCAAGCCAGGGCCAGAGGGAGGTGGCTAAGGCCTGCCCTGTGGTATGCTAGCATACTGTCCCTACATCCCAGCACTGTGGACATAGTCAGCTTGGGCTCTGTCAATCCTGTGCTGTTCAGAGGCCTGCAGGCTTCCAGGAGACATAGCTGCTCACCTGGAGGGTGAAAGACAGAAAGGTGAAGTGCCCGGTTTCCACCTAAGTATTAGCCCTTTCGTTTCTTGAAGAAATCAAAGCCAAAGGACTATTTGTATGTCTGGTCCTGGATACATATGGGAGCCAGTAAAAGCCCAGGATGACTCTTCTCCTGAATCCCTAACTTCAGACTCCAAGCCACCCCGTGTAGCCTGTAGCTTCTATAGATTGTCCTGTCCCTGAGTAGGCTGGGCTGTGAGACTGGCTCAGCTGGCTCTTCTCTTTCTAGCCCCAGTTCTTAGACAGAGGTTCAAGGCATTCATCCATCTGTCCAGCCTCTCCTCACTTCACCTGAGGTTCTGGGTTGATGGTTCAGAAGTAGAAACCAATTCCCCCAGGGCAGACATGGTGGTGCATGCCTGAAAAATCCCAGCACTCAAGAGTCCAAGGTGAGCCATGTGTGGTGGCACACACCTTTAATCCCAGCACTCCTGGAGGCAGAGACAGATCTACAAAAGCAAGTTCCAGGACAGTCAGGGCTACACAGAGAAACCCTGTCTCAGAAAAGGAAAGAAAGGAAGGAAGGAAGGAAGGAAGGAAGGAAGGGAGGGAGGGAGGAGAGAGAGAGAGAGAGAGAGAGAGAGAGAGAGAGAGAGAGAGAGAGAGAGAGAGAGAGAGAACTAGACTAGAAACAGTTCAAGGCAAGTGGCTGTATATAGGCTGAGACCATCTTAGGCCGCACAGTGGGTTTGCAACTAGCCTGGACTAGATCATTAGATCTCAAAAAATGAAAGAAAAGAAACTGCCTCCCGCAGAGAGACGAGCCAGGAGTCTGAACCAGGTGGGGTATCATCCCATGAAGATCTCATGGACATTTTGACCCCATTTGAGTTGAGCAAAGCTTGGCTATTGGGGTCTAAAAGCTGTTCTCCCTGATCCATGTACCCCTGACCTAGACCTTCCCATCTACCCTCAGTGTACAGAGGAAGATCAACTGAGGCAGGGATTAATAGCCGAGTTTCCAAAGTTTTCAGCAATGCAGAAGGGTTAAAACCTGGCCCTTTGTCTTGGCCCTAACAGCAGCTCAGTTTTCAGTGTGGGGTTGCATTGGGAAAACACTGCGTGACAATAGGATGAGTTTCTGCCCTTTGTGACCAGGCTCGGCAGAGTTGGGGCCTTACAGCTGCCCAGCACCCCCAGGAATGCTTTTACTCGGCCTCTACAGCCTGAGGACTGAACAGATGGCATCTCCATGTGTCCTGCTTAATGTCAGCACCTTGTTGGTTTGTTCAGTTTCCCAGGAGCTGCAGGGGGGAAGCTAGTGTAACCCCCAGGCTTCTGGGACGTTGCCAGGCAGCAGGTAGAGAGAGCGGATCATGTGCAAAAGTTTGGTGGGATGGTTTGGCCTGACTGCTGGCACAATCTAGAGGGTATGTAACTCAGTGGTCCGGGTGGTACAGTGAGTGTATAATTTCTGCCCCTCTCCTTAACCTTAAGACCCAGTGTTTCTAGCAAGGGAGGGTATGATTGTCCCAACCCTTCTGCTAGCTGAGGCCACCAAGCCGACATGTCCTCGAAGCCCAGCTCCTGCTGTCCTCCACTCTCAGGCTCTCGTCATCTTCTGCTCCCTCTGAAGCCCTTCAGAGCTCAGGTTCCCCATACTAATGGGGTCCCAGGCTGAGACCTTGAACTCCTGATCTCCTGCCTCTATCTCTGTGATGACAGATGATTACACATAGGGATCAAACCCTGGGCTCCCTGTAGCTAGGTAATCACTCCACAACTGAGCTATGTCCCAGCCCAAGAGCCAGACTCATGTTCCCAACCAGTTTGGCCACCTGGCTCTGTGAACCTTTTGCCCATGTCTGTCCCAGAAGGAAGTTCGAGTGTCCTTCAGGAATGCGCATGCCACCCTTCTGCATTGAGCACCTAGTATGCTCCCCGAAGCCCCTTGGCTGCCTTCCATTGTTGCTTTTCTGACTCTGGGTTCTAATTTTATGCCTTGCTCCCCAACCTTGTTTAATGTGGGCTGGGTGTTGAGGGCCATCCCTCTCGAGTCATATGTCTCCGGTTGTGCCCCCAGGAACTCAGGAGTACCTCACTTACAAAGTCTGCCATTCTGCTCCCAACTCCTGGGGCAGAGCCTGTCACTAGTCCAGGCCTGTGAGATATGTTTAGTTTGAGTCCACTCCCCAACCAAGATGGAGTTCAAATGAGCAATTTGAGAGACCCCAATGAGTGGGATGTGGGGAGCATGGATGGGTTGCTAGGAGGAGCCTTTTGGTGATGGTGTCATTTTAACCCTGTGTCATGTGAGAAGAAAGCAGGGAATAGCCTGGCCTCTGCAAAGGGCCTTGGCTGCATATCAGCTCACCTCTGACATGAACACAGGGTCATGATTTGCCCTCAGCAAGCATCATTATCTCCTTTGGCTCTTTAGACCCAGACTCACCCTGAAGACTGGCTGGACACAGTGCAGTGTGTGAAGCCTTCTTGCCTTGATCCGTAGCTCCCAGTATTCCACATGCAAATGGGTGTGTTAAGTGGCCCCATGTGCTTTCAGAGCAGCTGCAAGCTTCAGGGGGTTGTGAATGATAAAGAGCTTTCAGAGTCCCCTCAATGCCACACACCTTGGAGGTGACGCTCATGGCACATGTGTCCCTGGCCTTCAGTTGGAGGTGCCCCATGGGCTGAACTTGTTTATCAGTGACAATCTTAAATCACAGGGGCCATCTGAGAGAGAATAACCTTGCTGGGGTTGGGATGAAAGCCCAGGTGTGGTGGGCCCGTTGCCGTGTGTCTGCTGTGGTCAGTGCTATCTCTCACGTTCTGAATGGTCCTAATTCAGCTGAGCAGAGTCATTAAAGAATAGATGTTGAGCCAGATTGCTGTGATTCACATCCTGCCTATGTATCTGGGCAAGCCACTCAACCTCTGTGTGTGCAGCGAGCATCATTCTAGCAGCTACTTTGCAGAAGGCAAGGACTAAGTGTGTTAATGTATTTACAGCATGAAAGCATAACCTGGCATGTAGAGTGTAATACAGAAGCAGTAGCTGCTGGTGCTGTGGTAATGATGGCAGGGCTACCAGGTGATGATGAGGTGGTCTTTGAGACAGGGTTTCTCTGTGGCTTTGGAGGCTGTCCTGGAACAAGCTCTTGTAGTCCAGGCTGGTCTCGAACTCACAGAGACCCGCCGGTCTCTGCCATTTTTAGCTTTTCTTTTGCAATGCTGAAAACCAAACCCAGGATCTTATACAAGCCACATGACAAATACTGTACTGCTGAGCCGCACCCTCTGCCAAGGGTGACCCTGTTGCTCAAAGTAATATTGATGATGGTGATATTAATAATGATGGATGTGGGGACATTGATTTAGATGAAGATTACGGTGACAGTAATGGAGATGACACTGGTGAGGGTCATGGTGAAGATGACGTTAGTGATTGTGATACTTACTGATTGTGGTGGTAATGGTGATGGGATGGGCGTGATGTTGATGATATTGATAGTAACTAGTGATTGTGATGCTGATGAGGGTGATGGTGATTATTATACTGATGGTAACAATGCTGACGGGATGAGGATGACATTGAGGCAGTGTCTGTTTTTATTATTATCTCATCCTGCTGATGTTTTAATGCTGGCAGATGGCTTGCTGTGGACTGACAGGATGACTATGAGGTAAGGGCCTTGCTGAGAACAAATGGGGCTGCCTTGGGCCACTGATGAAGTTGTGATGAGGCAGATGAGGAGTTTTCTCTGTGACTCATGTCCTTTTAGAAGTTACCTTGTAGGTGTAGAAACTTGGAAAACACATCATAGGGCACCCAGGTGTCCCTTGAGCTTGACATGTGACTGCTCTTGGTGGCCCTTTCCAGACCCACTCACACCTCCATTTTAAGCTCTGCCATACTGCACTGTATGTCCCCAGGCTCCTCCTGGACCTGCCTCAAGGGCTGTGGCTGTCACCTGTTAGACTCCCATCCAGGGAACCTAGCTGTGGAGGGAGGGATGTCCCCAGGGCCACCTCCTTCCAGAAGCGTTCTCTGGTTCCCAAACAGGTGAGTTCTGGCTGTTGTCATCTTTCCTCAGAGCCTATCTCCCTAGGTTGTGATGTCCCAAGCCAGTCCTCTGAGACTTGCTCAAAGCTGTTGTTGGAAGGCAGTTAGCAGCCCAGAGAATGTCAGAGAAGGCCTCCCTGAGCCTCACAGGCTCTGAAGACTTGCAAATGAGGAAAATGAGGCCTCTGACCGGTGTGGTCCGGTGACAGAGTTCATCTGGGGAAACAGGGACCAGAGAGGTCTTTAAACAGGTTGATCAGCCGAGAGGCAGCAGAAGCTGGGTCCAGCCATCATCCACGGGTCTCAACAGTTTGTCTGAAGACGGCAGGGTGAGGGTTCCCTAGCCGTGCACTGATGGAGGAGGTCATAGGGACTCTTTTCTCCACAGTTGTTCCCTGGAGACAGGTCTATGACTGTGACCCACTAGAATCACATCATCCATGGTATAGATAAGAGACCCTCTCCCTTGGGCTCACTCCAGGCCTCTGCCCAAACACTTTGAGCTACTGATTTTTTTAATCCTTCCCTCCTTATCTCATCCCAAATGCTTCTTCTTCTTCTTCTTCTTCTTCTTCTTCTTCTTCTTCTTCTTCTTCTTCTTCTTCTTCTTCTTCTTCTTCTTCTTCTTCTTTGCCTCTTCAAACTCCAGCTCCTTTCTCCTCTGGGACCTTTGCACAGTCTGTCTCCCAGTCCTTCCTCCCTTATCTAAGCTGGTGCATCTGCATCTCATGGGGCCCTTTGGCTGGACACAGGCCTTTTGGAGGCCGTGGGGGTCGGCCCT